TATAAAAGTATGAGAAAACGTAACGAAGATGCCTTGCTACCAATGTCGGTGTTCCACCAATAATGGCGGCTAAATGAATAATGACGTTTTGTGAAATAATTACGGAGGCATCGCTGATGTATCACAAATGATAACGCTATTGTTATGTGATTTCTGCAGTTTCAGTGATCTGACTGTTTGTAGTGGTAACGAGCTCTAATTATTACGACGATAACTATGCGTACATTTTAAAAAGTATCGTGTGTAATATTAATAGTTATTATAGAATGTGAGACGAATGGTTACGTAAAAAGGAAAAAAAAATGAATCCAAGATAGAAGAGAAAAAGTTAAGCGGATCTCTATTATTACTCAAAAATTATTTAATTATTTATTTATTGCGACATATAAATGAACTTGAATCTCTACTACTGACGTACAAGTGCGTAAGATTTGCCCTTATTTAATTGATGTAATATACAAATGATCGAATGTAAATTTTACTTCTTAGATTTTAATTTGTATATTGGAGACGGTAGAAAAAGAGGAGAGGGTATATAAAATGTGAAAAGTGTTCTTTGGCTTTCGGCGGCACATGCTTTTTTCATTTGCATGCTGGCTAAAAGCACTCTTGTGCTTTCCTGTGATATAAAAAAAGAAAAATTAATCAAGAGTAGTAAATTCTTTTACCATAAATTGAAGATGCAAATACAATAAAATCAAACTGATAAAGTTATGGCAATTAGATTTTTTGTTACTTACGGAAAACACAGGATGACGCTTAATATAACAGCAGTTTATCCGTGCCAAAGTGCTTCAATCAAAGAATTTTTAATACTGTGTGCATGTGCATAAGCATTCGAAGTTTTTTGTAATGTTCCCATGAAAATTATGGCAGTTTTATTCTTCTCTTTTAACCATTCTCAATTCTTAGCCATATACGTCATTGTGTTACCAGAGAGCCAATTGAGATCTCTTTAAAAGTTCTGTGCCATGGACCAGGTTACGTTCGAATATTCCTGGTGCCTCAAAAGAAAAATGCGACTTTTCTGAATGATCGAAATAATTCCCAGACTCTGTTCCATTTATATTGTAAAATCACAATAAAATTGTATATTATATAATTAACAACTATACACACGCAGTTTAAAAATTGTAGATATTTTTCATCGACGCAAAGTTACAATGTGATGCAATGATTTTGTTCATGTAGATATCGCGAAGTATAAAAGAGGATTTTGTGTGAATAGGTTTTTTCTAAAAACTGATTCTTTGTAAAAGGATCTAATAATCATAGTTTCTATCAATCTTGTTGTTTTTAGTATTTTTACAGCCCTGTATAAGATTACTGTAAATAAGGAACACAGAAATAGAAAAGGAGATAAAAGAGAAAATTATATATATTTTTTTCTCACACACACATATATATATATATATATA